AGAGGGAGGAGATATGGGGATATATGTATATGTATAGCTGATTCACTTTGTTATAAAGCCGAAACTAACACACCATTGTAAAGCAATTATACTCCAATAAAGATGTTTAAAAAATAATAATAATAAGGTACTGACTAAGCCCTGAAGATCCATCCACAAACAGAACAGACCTGTCCCACACTTTATGGAATGTGGTAGGAATAGTGAAATTAAGTAAATAGTGTAAGTATATATTTGCCATTTTGAAAATTGGTGTAAAAGAGAAATACAGGCACTATTAAAGTCTAATTTAGATGATGGGACAGAAGGACAATCAGAATAGTCTTTCCTACAGCAGCAAAAAGTCAGAGATCTGAAAATGAGTACGAATTAACCTGGATGGGACCTGAGGGGATGAGAATTGCTCTCCAGACTAATGAAACGAATTTACAAAGAGGACACAGGTTTGCCCAAAGCAGAATCCTGTGGTCCTTACAGGGAGAGTAAGAGAGAGACCAAAGGTAAGACTGGAAAAGTATGTGAGGCTAGAACCTGAGGCACCTTGTAAATTGCATTTAAGGTGTATTTAAGATGTTAATCTTATCCAAAGAATAACTAGGAAATCACCCAAGAGTTTTAAGCATATTTAGAGTTACACCCAGGGCTTCCCTTGTGGTTCAGGGGTTAAGAATCCGTCTGCCAATACAGAGAACACGGGTTCGAGCCCTGGTCCAGGAAGATCTCACATGTCGCGGAGCAACTAAGCCCGTGCGCCACAACTACTGAGCCTGCACTGTAGAGCCCGCGAGCCACAACTACTGAGCCCGCCTGCTACAACTACTGAAGCCCGCGTGCCTAGAGCCAGTGCTCTGAAAGAAGAGAAGCCACCGCAATGAGAATCCCATGCACCACAGTGAAGAGTAGCCCCTGCTCGCCACATCTAGAGAAAGCCCGTGCGCAGAAACAAAGACCCAATACTGCCAAAAATAAATAAATTTTTAAAAATAATTGAGACATTTTGAAAAAAAAAAAAAAAGAAAAGTTACACCCATTAAGCACCAGGGCAATGAGAATTTTGGTATCATTATAAAAATTAAAAACTGAAGATCCATTCCTAAGGCGCTCTATTCCTTATTTGCTTTATAAGAGAGCTATAAGAAAGGGGACTTCCCCAGTGGTCCAGTGGGTAAGACTCTGTGCTCCCAATGTAGGGGTTCCATCCCCGGTCAGGGAACTAGATCCCACAGGCATGCCACAACTAAGAGTCCGCATGGCGCAACTAAGACCCCGCACAGCCAAAATAAATAATAAATAAATATTTTTTTTAAAAAGAGAGCTATAAGAAAATATATAACCATGGCCACATCTCTTAAGAAGCTTCTTTAGATCTGCTCAAATATTCAATAATACTTGAAACCCTAGAAATCTAGATCAGGATGGGCAAACTTTTTAAAATAAAGAGCTAGATAGTACATATTTTTGACTTTGTGGGCTAGAGGATCTTTTGTCACATGTATTCAACTCTGCTATTGTAGTGTAGAAGCAGCCATCAACAATGTGAGCATGGCTGTGATCCCATAAAAAAACAGGAGGTAATGGATTTAGCCCTTGGGCAATACTTTGCCTATCCTTGACCTAGATCAAGCAGCATCAAAGAGAGATCAGTATGGAAGATTTTGGAGGATATAGTAAACATCTAAGTAAACAAACCTTTAATGGGATAGCTGTATTTCCTTGGGACTTTGATTTTGTGGAAGACTGTGCTGTGATGGGACCATAAATAAGGGACAAAAGGCACCTTCTGTGAGCTGAACAAATTGACCCTGTGAACGGAATTATCATCTGTGTAGACTGTGAGAAATATAAGCTCCTTAGAGGCAGGGATTTGTGTCTGTTTTGTTCAGTTTTTTCTTTTTAACCCCTAGCTGAATCCATGGATCCTCAAGTTTTGTTTATAGAATAATATGCTAATAGCTAATAACAGATGTACCTCACCAAATGAATGTTCAGTTAATGATTTTTTACCAATATAATTCTTAAAAAACTCATATCACTTTTGGGCAACTTTGTTTTATGCCCGGTATAAAGAAAATTTCACCCAAAACACACTAAATACATGTAGTACTAGAAATTGTGTCAATATTATGATCTCAGGCAAAGAAAGAGTTTTTTGTAGTCAGAGTATTATGGGGAACAAATTTATATTGGAACAAACTGCTCTGTTTGGATGAAGGCAAACATGTTTGCTTTGCCTGTGGATGCCAAGCAAGGGGTGAAGACATAGCATCTTCATTTCTTACAACACTTTGGTCGTTGTGTGCCTGTGTTTTGCTTTTATTTTTGCTCTAGAGATAAATTTTTAAGCTTATTTTAAGTGAAATTTGACCTCGATAATAATGAGCCCCCAAAAGATCAAAAAGTCTATGAAGAAAATGGTGCACAAAGCATAATGAGCTTTCCAACGCCAAACTCCCTCACTCCTTCCTTGTACATATTGGGTTGGCCGAAAAGTTCGTTCAGGTATTTCATACCATCTCATGGAAAAATCCGAACGAACTTTTTGGCCAAGCCAATGTACCACCCACTATCCAGTCATCTCTTCTTCCTTTGGTGAATACAATAAACCTTCACTGGATTACTTGTTTGCTTACTTTCAAATTCTTTATTATTGCTCATACAAACTTTTATTACGTATGTGTGTGTGTGGATATATATCCTACATATATTTAAATCTTTGAAAATTGTTTGGGTGTCTTAGGTTAGAATGTAAGATGTAATACATAATAAATTTTCCCATTAAAATAAACAGCTATTTTTTTAAATTTAAAGACAGCTGGGCTTATAGAAATGAATTAACATTGTTAACCAAGGTATAGGGCAATTAGTTTTCCTTTCAGCGTAATGTATTTTAATTTATGAATTTATAAAAAATATTGTTCTGAGAAGGAGTTCATAGACCTAAGCTAAAGGGGTCCATGGCACAAAAAAGAGCCTCTGGGTCTAGATCCTAGAATAGTGTGTCTTACATATAGTAAGGGCTCAGAAAATATTTCTTGAATACCAAATCATCTTTAACCCATATCAACAATATTGGTTCTATTAAAAAGACACTAAACTATTCAGACAAAAATTATTTGAAAAGCGTCGTGGTGGTGCCTATGGCATGAAATACCTTCCCTTTTCAATAGGAAAAGATGCTGAGCTGGCTGTTTCTTATGGCAGGGAGACATAAGGGAGGCTAAATCTGCATCAAATATTTAAATAGATGCTTCAAAGGACAGTTGAAGACAAAGAATGTTTTTAATCACATTTGGGATTAGAATTTGTTCAAAGCAATCCATAACTACCCAGCATTGTGACTATTTTGCTCACCAGTATATCCACAGCTCTTAACACAGTGCTTGGTAAACAGTGGCATCAATACGTATTTGAGGAATGAATGAACCCTGCTTGAGATTCTGTGGCAGTAAAAGCTCTAAGGGAAGATTAAAAACCTTGAATCAATATCAGAACCATATGGCTTGGTTAAGTGGTACCTGTCTATGGAATCAAAGATTGATGAGAGATCAATAAATATTGCAGGAGTCTTCAGTTATTTTTAACTGTATCTACCCCCAAACCTCCCACAGATTAAAAGGCACCAAAAAAGGTCAGCAATAGAATAGTGGTGCTTTAAATGCTCCTTTTTCATGCAGGGTGATAAACAGAGAAGTCAGATCTGCAACTCATTAAGAAGCAAGCATGCAAACGCGGAATGCTGAGAGACCGTGGAGCTGACTGACTGATGGAAGGTGGCACAGTAGAAGGTTGCCCTTTTTGTAGTGGTAGATATTGTGACTCTGTCCTCGGGGAGTTGAGTAAAGAACTTTGCAGAGATTTGAGCTCACCATTCAGAACAGGACCTGGAGAGCTAGGGCAGCCGAAGATTTTACCCTGGGGACTTCTGCATCTGGGAACAGTTAATTGGCTAAGGCTTAATGAGTCAGGTTTGTCAATTCTTAAGACAGCATGCTGGAGACGCAAGAGGGAAGAGATATGGGAACATATGTATATGTATAACTGATTCACTTTGTTGTGAAGCAGAAACTGGCACACCATTGTAAAGCAATTATACTCCTATAAAGATGTAAAAAATAAATAAATAATTAAAAACAAAAAAAAGAATGCCTTTTAAAAGAATGAGGTAGAGCCTTATACTACTGGTTTGGAGTTCTTTTGCAGCATTTTAAGTAAAGAAAGCAAACTGAAGAAGAATAAAATAAAAACATCATGGTAAACATGTAGTATTTATTTGTGTATGTATGTGTGTGTACATATAAACAAACATACACACACACAAGTATCAAAGGACTACATGTGCATAAGAAAAAGTCTAAGGTTAACATCAAATGTGTACTACTCTGAGGGGTATGTTTGGAGAGGTGGGGATTTATTTATTTTATATAGTCCTGAATAATGGCTTTCCAGATGCGAGTTAGACTTCTACGTTATATACAAAATAAAGTCCACTTGGACTACATTACTAAAATAAAAACCAGAAGAAGAAAAGTTTAAAAATGTGCAGATAGATCCACAAGAGTAGGGATGGGTGGGAAAACTGTCTTAAGGAAGTCAGGAAGATAAGCATCATAAAGAAAAGATGAACACATCTGACAAAAAAAAAAAAGTTTCAGTACAAGAAACATCATAAACAAAGCTGATACAAATGATAAGTAAAAAGGAAAAAAAAATTGGCGACGTGACAAAAAAGAGTGTTGTTTTTTTTAATTTTAATTAATTTATTTTTGGCTGTGCCGTGTGACATGTAGGATCTTAGTTTCCCGACCAGAGATCAAACCGGTGCCCCCTGCAGTGGGAGCGTGGAGCCCTAACAACTGGACCACCAGGGATCATTACCCGAAGAGATTATTACTAATATTAAATATGTAATAAAAAATTAAAATGTAATACATTAATATCGTCACACAAAGAACTACTACAAGTTGAAAAAAAAAACTAACGAGAGAAAAATAGGCAAAATATAGGAACAGGAAATGTATTAGAGAAAAAAGTAAAGTGGATAATAAATATAGTAGAAGATACCAATCTTACCAGTAGTCAGAAAAACGCAAAACAAAACAATATGCCATTTAATACCTATCAGATTGATGAATATTACAAAGGTTAATGATGTCCAGTGCTCATGTGGTTATAGGAAATCTTTTTGGAAAGTAACTGGTAGAATTTATTCATTAAAAATAGGCTTACACTTTGACATCTCACTTTCGACAATCTCTTATAGACTCCATGTAACACAGAAGGCAACATACTAACCAAAAAATTCTCACTTCTATAAATGTTGTCCTTTTCCTGAGTTCACCACCAGAGTTGAGTATAGTCCTTTGCAGAGAACAGAGCTAACTCAGGATAAGTTTAAAGCAAAACTGATCACCTATACCCCTAAGAGATGGAGATAAGTAGGAATGTCTACATACTAGATAATTAGGGGTTATCTACACAGCATTTCCGTTCTGGGAAATCCCTCAAATACTCCCTCATTTCCTTATTCTCCCAGGGCTCCACTGCTGTAGGAGCAGCCATGACTGGGTGCCCGAGTTGGCCAAGGGCTCCATTCACAGGGATTTGGGGACCTGGAAACACTGGAACTGGTGGTCTCTCTCCTGCAGTTGTATGTGTTGCAAGTAAAATCATGAATCCTTTGGCAGTCATTTTTTCTTCTACATGTGAAGAATACAGAGAGAGAGAGAGAAGAGAAACAGACATGAAAGGCATAGAGAACAACCTAAGGATATTTAACCTTCTGACTTGATTTGCTCCAGAGGACTCGACTGCATTCTGGCCTTTCCTGTGACTTGGTTATTCACCTTCTCCTTAGATTCGGTGAGAGATCTCCAAAGTCTTCCAGTAAGTTCCATTTTTTGCTTAAGCTAATTTAACTTGTCATTATCCCTTGCAACCAACAGAAACCTAAATAACAAAGTTTTCCTATTAAATAATTAGCTTCTTGATAAGAACATGAAATATTCTCCCCTGCCATGGACCTTGAGCTAACAATTACAAGTATTAAGTGAAAGCTGATATACATCCTCCTCATTCCACTCAAGCTCTGGTTTTTTTTTGGCACGTGGGAGCTTAGTTCTCTGACCAAGGGATTGAACCCGCGCCCCCTGCACTGGAAGCGCGGAGTCTTAACCACTGGACCACCAGGGAAATCCCTATTCCACTTGCGCTCTGCCCTAAAGCTCATGCCTACCTTGCTCAATTCTACTTCTTAAGACTGACTTTTTCGGGAAAGAAGGGAAAAAGAAAAAGGAAGCTTCTTAGAGTTTCCTACAGAACATCAAGTATGCACAACAGGCATACGGTTAGAGATCAGACAAGCAAGTTCCTGACTCTGCTAGTCCACTGTCATACTGCTAAACACCAGGAAACACTGTGCTGGTCTGAGCTATTATAGTTACATTATATATTATAATTATGTATATAAAATATATAATTATGTATATATAATACATATAATCATATAGATAATATATAGTTACATATTATATTTAAACTGTTTTTATTCTTAATTGCATATTTAAAAATTTATATTCACAATGGTTTTTAAAGCAGGAATTGCAAGATACTCTGATGTGGAAATACATCCTAATTAGAAGCATAGATTTGATTGCATGAAACTTTAAAACTTCTAGTCACCAAAGCCCACTATGAACAAAAGGAAAAAGACTAATGACAACTAAGCAAAAATATTTTTTAAGGTTTAACAGAGTTGACTTTCTTTCTTTCTTTCTTTCTTTCTTTCTTTCGTTGCATGGGGTCTTAGTTGCAGCAGGCGGGCTCCTTTGTTGCGGCTCCAGGGCTCCTTAGTTGCAGCTCACCAGCTCCTTAGTTGTGGCATGCGAACTCTTAGTTACAGCATGCATGTGAGGCCCTTAGTTACGGCATGCATGTGGGGTCTAGTTCCCTGACCAGGGATCGAACCCGGGTCCCCTGCATTGGGAGCTCACCAATGCCCCACCAGGGAAGTCCCCAGTGTTGATATTCTTGATGGGTTGGCCTAGATAGAATGAATAAAGAGCTGGCATTTTCTGTTTCCCATTCACCTAAAAGAGCCAGTGTCCAGTGGCATATATCCTGCATTAACATTACATAAAGTGGCAAGAATTAGGTGGCTAGTAGATAATCGCACCTAGTAGATAATCTGATTCCTTTCAGAGCCTGTCCTCTGCCTGTCCTCTGCCTGAAGAGTTCAAATAGGAAGCTAGCATTATATCTCAATATGATAAACAACACAGAAAAACCAATTTAACACACAGACACATACAAGAAATGGGCAAAGGATATGAAGAGATAATTCCCAAATGAAATTGAATGATGAGGGAGGGAGGGAGGAAGAAGCAGAAAGGGAAGAACAGTAGGGACAATAGTACTTGCTGGAGACCTTGCCATGAACAGCCTCTGGGGCATTTTTCTTCTGGCAGTTTCCAGAGCTTTAGGGCTATTTGCACTTCTCCCCAGAAGTGTAATTTAGTCTGTGGTCTTCCTAAATTACCTGGATGGATTTTTTTTTTTCCACACAGCGTAGCATGCAGGATCTTAGTTCCCTGACCAGAGAACAAACCCGTGTCCCCTGAAGTGGAAGTGGGGATTCTTAACCACTGGACCACCAGGGAAGTCCCCTGGATGAATATTTTTAACCTGGGTCTTTAGGGTTCTCTGGCAGGCCTTCTTCCTGACAAGAAGCATAGGAAGGAAGGCTGCAGAAATACCTTTCGGGCAGACACTATTCTCTGAGGTGCTACTTCCTCTTCCCCATCGTTAAAAGTGAACTATTAAAGGAAGATTAAAATAAGCTAAAAATTTAATTAACAAAGTAATGAGATCATCAGAACCCGCAGATATAATCAAAACAGTACAGATCCACACCCCGCCAGGCCTAAATCAGAAATAATTAAAAGCAATGTGACTTATCCTGAGCAGCAGATAAGACATACAGGCAGGGGCATTTCTTAATCAGGTTACAAGGCAAGGTCCTTATGCCTCAAGTCTCAGGCCTGAGAACTCTCTGACTGCCCTAAAAGCTTACTCATTCTGATTTACTTGTAGGTTAGCACAGCCTCATTTGAAAGTTTTAAGCTGTTTGCAAGTCCTCTGAACTCTTCCTTAATCCCTAAAAAGTCACATGCAGATTTCAGAACTACAGAGCCCTTGTGTGTTTCCCTAAAAAGTGGGGTTTACATACCAGCAGTACAAACAGCCCTCCTATTTCAGATTCTGCTCTTGGGGAATAATCATCTGGTTGACACCCCATTTCTCTGTGCAGCCAAATGTCAGGTCCATAAATGACTTCTTTATGGTGTTAAAAGAAAAACTGAGGCATATTACACATATTAAGAGTTTATTTGATCAAAAGTCCATTGAAACCAGGCAGCAGCAAACCAAAAGTGGCCAGAAGTGCTCCAACTACAGGAGCCTGGGGAAAGAATTTTATAGAGAAAAGGAAGAAGCAAAGCAAGGCAATTCTTTGAGTAACTACAGTGTAAGCATTATTTGGGACAAGCCTAGCTGGTTGTTTGTGATTCGTTGTCCTTAGGTTTCTGTTTCTTAAGCATGAGGCATTTACATTCTTAGGTTTTTGTTTGCTTATGTAGGCTGTTGAGGCCTCATCTAATGGCCTCCTTGTTTAATTAATCTAACAATGGACCAGGATATGGGTGTCATGGAATTTTTCAGTCTCTGTTACCTATCTCAGAGATGGCCATCCTAACTGGAAGTATTCCAGCTTTTTTTGTGGACCACATCTCTTTAGAATGTTATAGAAAATCAGTTCACTACAGTGGGAGGTAATCGTATTAAAGTTATGAGCAAGAATAAACGATGTCCCAGAAGACAGCTTCCTTTGAAAGTGGCTCTGACATTTTGCTAGTCTGCAAGCACATTTCAAAGCAGCTGCATGTTAAACTACCATGGAAATGGCTGATTACAGATATTATAGTGATAACGTATTTCAGTTACAGTTACATTTAGATTACAAAATGATATCCGTTGGCATGATGCTCTACCTGTAAAAGTGCTGCATTAAATAAACTACATATTTGGTGTTCACCTCCCTCTGTGTAACTATGGTATCTGTTGTGCTCAGAACAGCCAATTCTGTCAGAGAGGAGCTAATCTAAAATCTCGGGCTTCACTTGAGCCCTTCTAAATCCTACCAGATTGTAAGCAGGTGAAACAATGGAAATGACATCCAAATCAGTTGTTCTGCCTATAATGTTCTTCTTTGCTTTTTAGAGGAGAAGGTTAAAATTTAGGTTTAAGTTATTTATAGACTTTAGTCTTTCCTGCATTGTTGCCACAGAGAATCTGGAGAATCCGTGCTCAGTAATTACCAACATTATCCTCATTTAGTTTCCTTTCAGAAAGTAAAAGACAAACCTAGACCCAGGACAGGTGATAGGCAAACTAGACCTACAGGATTTGTTCTGTTGAAAAACAAAGTAAAAAATTCACATCAGTGAGATAAAGGGAAGAAAACAAACGTTCTCCAGACGCTACCACTATTATGTGGGGTTGCAATGGCTGAGGTGTCCCGTTCAGCTGAAAGGGTTGGTGTCAGATGGGAGCAAGCCAGTGCAGCCTGGCAGGGATGGTTTCCTAGGGAGCCTTTACCATTTCCCTCTGTGATCAGGATTATAGAATAAAGAAGACACTCTTCAAATCTGTAGATGTCACTAAATTTAAATGCTAACATATTTTATAGAGATGGGTTGGGGTAGGGGTAGGGTTACCAGATAAAATACAAGATGCCCAGGTAAGTCAGAATCAGATAAACAATCATTTTTTAGTATAAGTATGTCCCATGCAACATTTGAAACATCCTCATGCTAAAAAATGATTTGCTGTTTATCTGAAAATCAAATTGAACCGAGTGTCCTATGTTATTTTATTGCTGGATCTGGCAACTGTAGATAGGGGAGTTATGGAGGAAAGGAGCCTAAATAGTGATGCTCAGAGTGGTGAGCATCTCTTTTTTAGAACTCAAAATCATCCAATAAATCTGAAGAAACACTCAGGCTGCAACACAATGAAGTTGAGTGAGAGAAGAATGTAAGACAGAAAAGATAGGAAAACAATGAAAATTTTGGTTGTGAGCTCCTTAAGGGTAGTTTTATTTTTAAATCATTTTTGTATTCCCAAGTTGCAACTTTCTCTTTTAGTTCGTGAGCATTACATTGTTTTTCGAATGAATGAATGAACTCTTTCCATAAAGATGCCCTTACAGTGTTCTTAAAAATCATTGACTTTCTTTTGTAAGAAATGCGTGACACTTATCTATTCCTTAGGGAAAAGATCAAGGATTCCGCGTAGTGAGAAAATCCCCAGAGCCATTAAATAGTGCTCACCCAGTCCACAGGAGCTGAGGGCTACAAACTATCTATTTGAGAATCTACTCCCAGGATAACTTTCAAAACACTCTGAGTTTTTCCTAGAAAGGAGAAAGAATTCAACCAACAAGTTCACCAGAAGGGATCCATCTTGAAAGGAAAAAATCAGGCAGCAGCCATCCTATAACCCTCTCAGCAAGGGAGTGAGGGCCTTTTAAGAGTTAAGCTTTTTAACTGCCTTATTGTTATTTTTGGAATCCTGCTATTGTTTCCCCACAGTGTTTTCCCGCAGTGATTGACAGGCAAACCCCTAAAATAAGAAGGATCAATGGGTCTGTCTGTAGAGTGACAACTTGGAAGAAGACATTCAGAAGCTAGCCTGACGTGGAAAGGGAGAAGTATAACTGCCACCCTAACCCCCCCCACCCCATTTCAATCTGAGAGGGTGGGTCTGAGCCTAAAGATGGTAGGAGAATGGGCTTGGTTCCTAGGGAAGGGAGATGGGGATCTACCAAA